CCAGATGTCCCCTTCTGCGGAGTCCCTCCCCTTCCCACCCCCTACAGCAGTTTTCTGAGCCTCGCCCCTCCCCAGTTATGGCACTGTAAGGAGGAAAATAAAATTGAATTTAAATTGCCTCTAAAGAGGCAAATTGCACCTGGCTGCCTCCGTCAGCAGAGCACGTGACTCTCGATCGTGGAGTCATGAGTTCAAGCCCCACGTTTGGCATAGGGCCTACTTTTAAAACAAAAAACGTATTGTCCCTAAAGAGAAAAATACTAAGGAGTAAGTTTTGGTGGGTAAAGTTAAGCTTTGGAAAGCCACAAATCATTAATATCTAAGGTGGGGCTTTTTTGTGTTTTGGGGGGTTTTTTTTGGGCACGCCTAAGAAACCAATCTTCACCTTCCCGGGGGCGACCACCCCACCTCCCCGCTCTCCCCCTGCCTGGAGAGCAGCCGGCAGGCGCGGCGTGTTACCGTCCTCTGGTGGTGAGAAATGGGATCTCACTCTGCCTTTTTTTTTTTTTTTTTAAACCAGTTCCAGGGATAATTGACCTATAACTCACTATATATATTTAAACTGTGCCTTTAGGTGCGCCTGGGTGGCTCAGTCGGTTAAAGCATCCTACTTCAGCTCGGGTCATGATCTCACAGCTTGTGGGTTTGAGCCCCATGTTGGACTCTGTGCTGACAGCTGGGAGCCTGCAGCCTGCTTGGGAGTCTATCTCTCCCTCTCTCTCTGCCCCTCCCCCACCCGTGCTTCCCCCTCCCTTAAAATAAATAAATACATAAACATTAAAAAGATAAAAATAAAACCTTTGCCTAATCTGAGGCCAAAGAAGCTACTCTTAGTTTTGCATACACCTCTGGGATTACACATTTGGATATGTGCCTGGGTTTTCACATTTTCACACCCAGAGGAAACAGGCGTATCCCTCTTAGACCCAGTGAAACTCTTTGGTAACAGTGTCTGGGCCACACTCAGGTGTACATGTGCGTGTGTTTCTTTGTTTTTCAGTCCAGCGCTTGGGATCCCCCCACATTTGTGATCAGTGAAGTTCTGGCTGCGGGGACATCGGGCTTGGGCGCCGCGTACCCAGCAGTCGGTGGCTTGGGGGAGGAGGCTCCTTAACAGCGATGGGCCCCACAGTACCCACCACCTTCAGCTAAGATTTGGCCCACGCATTTGGCCAAAGATTTGGCCCTTTCCCAGGGGGCCGCACCCCTGCGGTGGGCTCCCTCGCCATGACGTGTTATTGTAGGTAACTGCTGTGAGCCACACAGCATTAGGGCTGCGAGGTGCCCACTGGGTGTGGGGTCCCCTCCGCGGAAAGGGCTGGTGCGCCCTAGTCTGTCACAGCCCTCCTGGGTCTTGCCCCCTCCACACTCGGCCGTGGGGGATCATTGCTGCGCCCGCCCCCATCCTCTGCCATGTTAAGAGTGGACCCGCCTTCCCCGGGGCGCAGGGGCCGCAGGGCAAGGCTCAGGGGGTCACGCCTCCTGGAGACGCTGACCCTCCTTCCCTGAGGGCACGCGAGGGGAAGAGGGCTTTCAGCCGGAGCCCACTGAGCTCCTCCCTCGCCAGTGCCCAGGGTGGGTCCCAAGGCGGTTTGGGTCCCCGGGCCCCGAATAACCCAGGCTTCCTCTCCACAGGCTTCTGGGGAAAGAGCGGCATCTTCCGGCTGTGTGGTCTCCTGCTCTTGGCTGCGTGTCTGGGCTTCTACAGGTGAGGGGGGGACGGCCCGGGGTCCCCATGGCAGGCTGGGGGTATTACGGTGAGTTTGACTTTAATTCGTGAAACCGGTGTTGGCCTCAGCCGAGATCCCAGAGAAGTTGTTGCCAACCCCGTCCTCTCATTTCGCAGATAAGGAAACTGAGGGAACGCGGTGGTACTTTCCGCCTCGGGTCACCACTTCGCAGGGGTGCAGTCTCCCAGGCAGCGCTGGGCTCCACTCCCGGATGATTCTCGGGCTTGTAGAGGTTCCCCGGGTTGGGGTGGGGGGTGCAGGGCTTCTGAAGGCAGCGTTTTATCAACACACGGAGCTCACATCATGCTTTCAGAGCATTTATGGGAAACAGATAACATTTTTTTTTTTTAAACTGCATTTCATTTGTTTAAAACAAACAGTAGGGTGGGGCGCCTGGGGGGCTCAGTCGGTTAAGCATCCGACTTCAGCTCAGGTCATCATCTCGCGGTTCGTGGGTTCGAGCCCTGCGTCCGGCTCTGTGCTGACAGCTCAGAGCCTGGATCCTGTTTCAGATTCTGTGTCTCCCTCTGTCTCTGTTCTCTTTCTCTCTCAATCTCTCTCTCTGTCTCTCAGAAATAAATAAAACATTAAAAAAAATGTAAAACTGGGGCACCTGGGTGGCTTAGTCGGTTAAGCGTCCGACTTTCGCTTAGGTCATGATCTCACGGTTCGTGGGTTCGAGCCCCGCGTCGGGCTCTGTGCTGCCAGCTCAGAGCCTGAGGCCTGTTTCAGTCTGTGACTCCCTCTCTCTCTGACCCTCCCCTGTTCACGCTGTCTCTCTCTCTCTCTCCTAGAAATAAAAAAAAAAAAAAAAAAAGTAAAACAAACAGTAAAGTTTATGTTTGAAAACAAACTTAGCAAAATTGCATTCTCTTAAAAAAAAAAAAAGAATCTAGCAGCTACTTTCAGTGCACTGGTTCGTACTCACAAGGTGAGATTGCCTGTAGCTGCAGCTTTGAGGAGGAAGCGAACATGCACATGCACAGTTGAGACCACCAGAAGCATTTCCACTTAGCGCTGAGCCTTGAGAGCTATATGCGTTTCGCTGATGACTTTTGTAAAGTAATTTGTCAGAAGGAGCTTACACTTCTTGGGTATCTATCCCGTGCTGGGCACCGAGCAAAATGCTTGACAGACATTCCTGTACATTCTCCCAACAACCTTAAGATCGGCATTACTGTCCCCATTTTACACCCGAGGGAGCCGAGGCTCTCGAGGTTAAGGTGAGACCAGGTTGTGAGGTAGGAAGTGCAGGACGCAAATCCTTCCAAACCTGCTTCCCAGGCCCCTGAGGACGAGTCGGCCACCTCAGGGCTGCCAGTCCAGCCGGTGTGTGTTCTGGAAAAAGGTGCCCTCGCACCGCCGGACACATCAGCACATCCCCCTGGCAGGCGTTTCCCAAGCCTGGTGTTGGGGGGGGCGGGTATGCCGGGATGTCACTGCCAATGGGACAGCTCCTTGTCCTGAACAGTGTCAGGTGTGGTAGGGGGAGTGGCTGCCACCAGGGAGGGATGGGGGATACAGGCTTTCCCGGGTCTCCTGGGACGAAAACATGCCCTGATCGGCCAGAGGTGGACACTAGCCAGGGCTTCGAAGGGCCAGTCTGGTCGAAGCCACAAGTGGACCATATGGGACAGTGCTGGGGGGGCAGCTGTAGTAGCCCAGGTGACCCCTGCCTGCTGCGTGGGGGCTGGCTTCCCGCAGAGGGACCTCCTGAGCTGCCATGCCGTCCTGGGGCCTAGCGTCCACTTCAGAGGCCGCGGGTGGGGGGCTGAGCCGGCTCCACGGCCTGTCCCACGGGGGATCGAGGCCCCACTTGACCTTGACGTCTGGTTCTTAGAACGTGCCCTCCAATTGCATGAAAATACTCTTCCTTGTGGCGTAAGGACCGCAGGGAGCGCTGAGAGCGTGTGGCCCCTTCTGTGTCATCCTTCAGGGACTTGGAGACACCTGTCACCGCACCCTGATGCTCCTCCCTGGGACCCAGACACCTGTCACCCCACCCCACCTCCCTGCAGCTTGCCATGTCTGTCACAGCAAGGTGCCCGGTGTGGCGGCCCGGAGGGTCCGAGGTCCGGAGTCCGGCCTCTTTTCTCCATCTTTTGGGTCATTCATCCAGCACCCTTTTCCTCTGCATTATCCCATGTTTAGATCTCATTTTATCTTCTTTTCTCCCTCATTTCAACACACCTTGGATTGCCTTTTTACTTTTTTTAGACTGGTAAATGTGTAGTGCCCAAAAGATTCACCTGATTATTAGATTGAGTTTCCTTCTAAAATGTTTATTTTTCTGAGGGGGGGAGGGGCAGAGGAGGAGAGAGAGAATCTCCAGCAGGCTCCACACTGTCAGCACAGAGCCCGACGTGGGGCTCAAACTCACAAACTGTGAAATCATGACCTGAGTAGAAATCAAGAGTCAGGTGCTTAACTGGCTGAGCCACCCAGGCGCCCCTGGACGAAGAGTCCTTCTAGAGCAGATTTCTTTCCCCTCGGACTTTGCCTCCTCGTCACAAATTTGTGCTCATCACAAATTGTTTTGTGGATGTAGAATTTTTACATGTTCTCTTTGAGTGTAATTTCAAAGTGCAACCCTGCTATGGATATGCCTACATGAGCACTTCCCAGAGTGTTTCAAAAGCTCATGATAAGAGCTCTTTCTTCAAATGAACATTTAAGTTTTGAAAGATGATCTCAATGTTCAAAGAGTGATTTAAAAATCTCTCACCACTTTTTTTTAAATTCACACAAATGGTGATAATTCCTAGGGCAGAATTCTTCGATGGGCAAAATTACCTTCTGATGGGCAAAAGGCAAAAGTCCCACGTGGACACAGCCCCCGTGGTTTTCGGCTCCAGGGTTCTGTTGCCAGGCCTCAGGGCCACCCCTCCTGTGCCCACCTGAGCCCCATCTGCCTGCCAGTGCCTGGCGATGAGGGAGGCTTTCAATTCTCCATCCCTAGTGCTCAGTGGACAGCGGTGTCGCTCGGACAGGGAGTAAATAGAGGGAGTCAAGTCCGCGGGGGGAATTCCATGGATTTTGATCTGGACGATTTGAGTCCGAGGACCTCCAGGGTCTGGGTAGAAATAGAGAATGGGGGTTACCCACACAGGGGGGTTGCCGCAGCCGGAGAGCCGGTGGGGTCACTGGAGGTGGGCAAGGTGGTGGGGTGGGACGCGTGTTCTCCCCATGGGTCCAGATGGAGAGCACCCCCACTCCACTGGCTTCGTAGGCTCAGCCGCATGCACGCACTCACTCTCCCCACACGCGCTTGCACGCATTCACCCTCCGTACATGCTCACGCACGCACTCACACTCCACGTGCACACGTGCATGCACTCACACTCCCTACATGCTTGCGCACGCATTCACCCTCCGTACATGCTTGCGCACACACTCACACTCCACATGCGCACGTGCATGCACTCACACTCTCTACATGCTTGCGCACGCATTCACCTTCCGTACATGCTCGCGCACACACTCACACTCCACACATGCACGTGCATGCACTCACACTTCCTACATGCTTGCGCACGCATTCACCCTCCCTACATGCTCGCGCACGCACTCACACTCCACACGCGCACGTGCATGCACTCACACTCCCTACATGCTTGCGCACGCATTCACCCTCCCTACATGCTCGCGCACGCACTCGCACTCCACACGTGCGCATGCACTCACCCTCCCTACATGCTCGCGCACACACACTCCACACACGCACGTGCATGCACTCACCCTCCCTACATGCTTGCGCATGCATTCACCCTCCCTACATGCTCGCGCAGACACTCACACTCCACACGCGCACGTGCATGCACTCACCCTCCCTACATGCTTGCGCATGCATTCACCCTCCCTACATGCTCGCGCAGGCACTCACACTCCACACGTGCGCATGCACGCACTCATCCTTCCTACACACTTCCGAGGTGCCAGCCTGGGTGCCTGGGACACAGGTGATTCAGGTGCTGTCCCCGCCCGCAAGGGGGCGATGTGGAGGGGCTGAGGAGAGAGGCCCAGAGTGTCCCCCAAATGCCACCCACAGTGCGGGGGAGGCCACTTCATGGGGACATGCAGAGGCGTCACGGGGGAAGCCTGTCCTGGGACCGGCAGTGCTTGGACGGGGAGCTCAGGGCAGGGGAGCGCAGGAGCGGGAGGCAGCCAGCAGTGGGAGTCCCGCGTCCCATGGCACATCCTCGCTGTGTCCTGGGTGCAGGTAGGGGGCTCTGGGCCGTTGTTTGTGGGCTCTGGGGCCGCAGGTAAGACTGAAGATCCCCCCTCAATGCCCCCCCCACCTGAATACCGAGGCACTGAGTTCACGACCTGCCCTTCGGCTTCTGTTGCTCGTGTGACATGTGACAGCGCTGTTAGAAAATAGAAGGGGGCCGCCTGGGTGGCTCAGTGAGATAAGCATCTGCCTTCAGCTCAAGTCTTGATGTCACAGTTTGTGAGTTTGACATCTGCATGGGGTGAGCTCGACCCGCTTGGGGGGAGCCTTGCTATTCTCTCTCTGCCCCTCACTCACTTGCACCCTCTCTCTTTCTTTCTCAAAAAAACAAAGCAAAACAGAAAAGAAATAGAAGGGAGGGGCGCCTAGGTGGCTGAGTGTCTGACTCTTGATTTTAGCTCAGGTCATGATCTGGGCCGGGTCGTGGGATCAGGCTCCACGCTGAGCATGGATCCTGCTTGGGATTCCCTCTCTCCTCTCTCTCTCTCTCTCTCTCCCTCCCTCTCCCTCTGCCCCTCTGCCCCACTTGTGCACTCTCTATTTCTAAAACAAAAGAGAGAGAGAGAGAGAGAGAGAAACAAAAGAACATAGAAAGGACGCATGACTCTGGGCTTGAGAGTGTCCAGGCGCGGCTCACCCAGGGAACTTGTTAGAAAGATCTTTACACACACACCCCTCCTAAGTGCTCAGCGCGGCGCAGGGGCTGGACTTGCATCTAGAAATGACTCCTCAGGTGAAAGGGATGCCCGATGGCGTGGTCCCTGCCGTGCTTTTGGTGACTGTGGTGGTGGGATTGTGCTGCAGTGGCCGGGGTGACCACAGGGGTGGGGATGGGGCCAGATGGGTCTGGTTGGGTCCCATGTCCATTTTCTCAGGAGCCGGAGGCCAAAAGGGTGAGAATGTGTGTGTTAAAGTCTCAGCCTTGAACCTGCAGCCTGTCTGTCCTCTGCCCAGCGAAGACTCAGTTTCACACTCTTGTTTGTTCCCCAGCAATGTTTTCAGCCTGATTCCCGGAAGGAGGCAGACAGGAAACTCTCAAAGGTAATGGCGGAGTCTTTGGATTCAGGGTGGTTCCTTCTAGAAAGATCCGGAACGGAAATAGAAATACACGTATGTACTAAATTGGAGGTAGTTATAACGAGGGACCCTCGGTTCCCAGTGTGATCTTGGAGGCATGGCGCCCAGTGTGGGTGCTGGGGTCCCTTCAACTGCTGCGACGGGGAGCCAGCCGGGGGTGGGGCCCCTCTTACCCCGTTAGGGCCTAGGTGGGCAGAGGCTCGGTGTCCTCCCAGGGCGAATTCCTTCCAGGGCTGGGCTCTCTGGCCACCTGGGAACAGACACGGGGACAACCAGCCTGGGGGCACGTGCGGTTGGACGGACGGGCGGCGTGGGCTCAGCCGGTGTCGCTCTTCTCTCCAGCAGCACTGAGGGCCACCGCCTGCAGGACCCGTGGGACGGCCTGCTGTTGCGGCTCCCGCTCCTTCCTCCTCCCTCACAGACTGGCCCTCCTTGGCCCCAGGACCACCCTCATCCAGGAGCCTGCCTCCCC